ACTCACTTGATAATGACCGTATAAATAGGTCGAAAATTCGTGTTTTAATAAATATTTTTATTAATAAACTCTTAATCATGTTAAACAAAGTTAAGGGTGTTTCAGCCGCAATTGCACTAAACTTCAAGTTTCCTAAATTTTATGAAACTTCGAAAGAAGTTTCATAAATCTGTGATTTATGAAGACGGGATATCCCGAATTGTTTACAGTATGGCATTCAGTTATGACATATTTTGTTTTGATATAATACTCTACACAGTTGGAAAAAATATTTTCCAAGGGGAGAGGAGAGGAGAGCTGAATCTACAAATGAGGTAAGAATGATGAATATAACATATCAATGTTTATTTTTAATGAGTTTGATGATCAAACTCATTAAAATCAACATTGATTTACTAATGGGCGGCCCAGATAAAACCGACCACTTTTGTTTTTTCTTATTAATCCCTTCTATGAAGTTTCAAGTTCTCATTTTCTAGTCAATCGATAGAGAATTGAATTCTCTATAAAATCTGTAATTTTAATCTCTGACAGCATTTTTCTCGTTTGAATATCATTCAAAATATTGAAGGGTGTTAGATCGTCGAACTGCGGCGGGTTTTTGATGTCTCCTTCTTTGAGATTTCTATCCTATTGTCTGATGTACAATAGCTAATTTTTCTAGGTAGAAAGATAGAGAATTTTGTGCTCTATTGATCTTGCTAATATAAAACTTTATACAACATTTTCGCTACGTCAGCTGGACTCACAATTAGTTCTCAACCGGTTTTTCAATTTTTTCAAATTAAATTAATTGTTTTAATTAATGATTTGAATTAAGAAACTTACTTTATATATCAAAAAATGCAGAATTTAATTCTGTGTAAGATGACAAGACCAGAACTCTGAAGTCGGAACGTTTTACTGCTCAAAAAACTAAAGACTATGAGAAATAGGTTCAGAAGTTAGGTTTTTTTAGATTCATCAGTTTTATGCACAGAAATTTTTCTAGAAAAGTGAGCTGCTGCAAAAATACGTGAGAAGATGCAAAATTTTCTGGCGAATCTTCTGATGTTTTCAAAATTCTTATGGAATCTGTTTTTGGGTCAAGGCAAATATTTTTCTGTTTTCAGTGTGTCGCAGTTCAACAACTCAGCACGCGTCAATATTTTGAATGATACTCAAACGGGAAAAATGCTGTCAGAAATTAAAATTACAGGTTTTGTAGAGAACTCAATTCTCTATTGATTGACTAGAAAATGAGAACTTGGAATTTCATAGAAGGAGATTACTAACAAGAAAAAAAGTGGCCGGTTTTATCTGGGCCACCCGTTATATTCATCATTCTCGTTTCAGAATATGGCGGAGTCTCTCATTTATTGAATAACTTTTTATTAGAAACAGATAAAATCATGCGGTTTTCACCAATAACAGGACAACACGATTTGCTATGAAATAGTAAGAAAAGTCAAGCCGAACTACCGCCTGCAGGTGGTGCACCTCATCTATCTCTCAGAGAATTGATCGCCAGTTTGTAGCGTCTTCTCAGTTTAGATTCAGTTCCACATCATTTATTAGCTTCGAATGCTAAAACTTTGGTTTTGAAGTGATCTACAAAAAAACTTTTTTGGTTTAAGTTGTTTATTTGCATTTTTCGATGCAATAAATGATTGAACAGATCAAAATTATTTTGACTCCAGAGTTTTATGTTCAGTACACATAAACCGAATTTTCCGGAAAACTCGTTTTCGAAAGTTCTGAAAATCAATCAGCGCGGTAGACAAAGTGTACGTTACACATTCTCGTATTGTGGTCAAAAAAGTAAACATTGCTACGTTGGTCAGGAGCGACGGGAGCCTATGTCCGATGTGTTCCCGAGATTCTCAGGCTTAAGGTGAGCCAGATAGACATCTCTTCCGAGATCCAGTGTGACTCCTGATTTATGTTAACTAGAGAGAAGGGACATCCATAGACTTGGAGGTCACTGTCTAAGCTATACCGAACGACTAGGTGTAGATGTGAAATCCACTGAATCTACATGGTCTGACTATCAACTCCTTGGAAATTTCTATCTCTTTTTTTTAACTGGGTATGACTTAGACAGGTTTGTTGTCGAACTTTTGTCATTACTCTGTCATTTTATTAACATCACGGACTAAAATAAAATTGAAAGATGGATGAGGTACATCGCATACAGGCGGTAATTCGGCTTGACTTCTCTCATTATAGCGTTGCAGAAAGCGTTCTCTTTTCAATAGTCACCAAGTCATTCACCGTTTTATTCTGCCGACATGACTGGTATAAATGACTCTGATTTTCCTAAAATAATTCAGAGTTTTTCTCTTCTTCAATTGTACGAGTCATAGAAACTTGCCTCGAAGAAGGGGTCTGTGATTCTTGGTTCGGTGCAGGTCATAGTATCTTATGTTTCCGAAGATATCTTTTTCACATTTGCTAACGGTCTAAAAATTGACATTTAAATGGCAGGGTTACTGGCAGCAATTAAATGTCTGTTATTTGACCATTTTTTAACATTAAAAAAAATGCGAAATAAAAGCATTTAAACGTTCCCAGTTATAACGGCAAAAAACGGCCTAAAAACTGGGTCAAATGTTATAAAAATTCCATTTAAATGTTTATCAATAGCGTATTAAATAGCATTTAATTGGCAATTAACTACATCATTTTGGACGTCCAGGGTAGTCTTTTGTTCTTCAAGATTTGATTGCTCCAGTGAATCGGGGCTAAAATACTTCATTTATGTCTGTTTTTTTCGCTTTTCCTTGATTTGATACTTGTTGTTGTTGCTTTCTTTATTATTATTTATTTGTACAATCATCACAGTCATGAATATGAGCTATATGTTTCCATGACATCAACATTGTTTTTGTCTGTGGTCTCTTCTGCTACGAAGAGTTCGAGATGAATTGCGATAAGTACGAGTTTCATAAGCACGAAATGTAGCGTAGCTATACTCTTAATGGATACCCAACTTACTGGAAAGCAGAAAACTCGACAAAACCAGTTTCTGAATAAACAAGAAAGTAGCAGCGCCGCATGAAACTTTTCAGCCGGGTCGATACGAAATTCGTTCGCTTGAACACTTCTCTACCGCATCTTTAAAAGTGTCAAAAGTATAGGCTTTAGAGGTTCGGTAAAAAATCATTTTCTTTTTAGAAAGAGCACCTCTCTTCTTCGTAAAATTCTTGCAATTCAACTATCAGAGCTTGGATTCAAACAAATTATACTAATTTGTGGTTTGTGTGCGAGTATATTCAACAAGCGTCTTGAAATACTAAAGGCGTTTAACAAGAATAATGATTTGGACGTATGATGCCTTTTAAAGACTGATAAGGGAAAAATGTAAAACCCTGCTCTATCACGCCCTAGCTGTATGTGTCAGGATCAGTTTAACATCAAACCAAGCCACTCGGTAAGCATCTCGAGATAAAGTATTTGGCAGTCGAACAGATCCATGTTCAGGTGATACGGAAGGTAACGGATGATACCTGTAAAAACATTGGGCATCATACTTTGACAGACTTAATATTTCCTGAACGTATGCTGCAATTCGATCTTACAACTATCCAGATTTCTGGCAGAGTGCTCAAAGTAGAAGTAAAGTCTAAAATACATCGAGACGATGAACTCTGCTAATAAATGCTCAATTAGAAAAATGGAATATTTCTCCTTCTTTAGTCGTAGAAAGCTCTCGATTCTTTTTCCTATTTTACAATAACGAATCAAGATGTAAAAGTTCTCATTCCAACCTTATCAATTTTTTGATCAAAAACGATAGTTTTAGTGCAAAAACATAAAAAACTTGCATGGACAAAAATAAGAAAATTTTAAATTAAAAATTTTAATATTTTTCTTTTTGTTTACAAAAATCGACGAATCTGTTGACCAAAATGGTTGTTGCGAATAGCATATGCTGCATCGTACATCATTATACCTATATATATCAAAAGAGATAGATAAACACATGAAATCCTGAGGAAAAAGTTCGTTCTGTCTATATACCTGCAAGATTATTAAAGTGGGTTATATTCTGATAAATTTGCTTGATTCTTGATGCATTCTGATAGCCACCACCGGCATCTAGTGATGCTGGAATACCTAAGAACAGTTTCATCTTCTTATTAACAAGAACTCGTTTTAATGTTTCAGACCATTGTTGAAAATTAAACGTTCCGCCGCCAAATTGTTGTATTCCAAAGAAAGCTTGTATACCGCATCCATTATTATAAAACTGAACAGAAACATAGTCCAGATCGCTATTGGTAATCGCAGTATGTGGGTTTGGACCAAGCCTGTACACATAAAACATGTTTATTAACAATAGAAAATAGACGTATAACCACCCTCCGAGAATAGAAGAGCATAATCTTCAATTATGGTTTCGCACATCGAACAATTCTTCGGAAACGTCATGCAATTCGCTATCGGGCAATTGTGCAAAAAACGTCTGTCCAAACTAGATTTCTAATCAGAGGAGAGCTTTTCACTTACCATGCATCTGGAAAAAAACATTGTGGTGCTCCACTGATCAAATAATTTCGTCCTATGAAAGATTTATTTATTAAATTTATTTTGCTTTTCATTAATGAACGTAATTTTTTTACCAGTGTCACATAAAATTTATCGTATATAGGAGCTCCCATTTCAATATCTAAATCAATACCATCAAGTATTACATCTGGACCAAATGGACGTACTTCGTTCGATTTTCCATTCAAATATTGATTCCAGATATGTATCGCTGTCTGTGTAGCTTGAATGGCAGATTTTATTGTATAATTACCATTGGCACCACCAATTGATAACACAATTAATTTACCATTTTTTTGACAGTTTTGTATTTGTTTACCTAATTTTATACACGATTGTCCTCCGAATCCATTACATTTATCAATTGTTAATTCAAGAATTCCATCACTGTTGATACTACTAGCAAATGCTAATATAATCGCGTCATAAACGTTATTATGACAATAATCAAATAATTGCCCTTGATTAACGTTTGCTCCCCAATAAACAATAAAATTCGTCTTTTTTGACAAATTAAATGAACAATTGCCAGTGGACAAAAAGTGAACAGAGAAGAGGAAAATGACTATTGTCTGAATATTGAAAAACATTTTTCACAGCAAATAGTCAGATGTTTTGTTCCTAAGTGATCTGTGAGGAGCAATCTATGCTTACATTACTAGTCTCTTATTTGACTGAATGAGTGAACGAACATTCATAATAAGCTACGAACAGGTCGAAGATCCTCGAAAAGCTGTCTATAGAAAAATGGAAACATGTGATTTTTTTTTGTATCTTTTTGATTCTTGTAAGTTAGTTATCATACCTGTAGTCATGCTTGATTTAACACATGGTTAGAAAAACATAGAGAGAAAAGTAATATACTTGGTGTGCTAGTACTTTTGAGAGAAAAATGTCATTTTTTTTATTGATCATGTTCGAATAATTCAAACTAACATAAAAATATCAAACATTTGGTTTCCATGTGTTCAGAATTACAAACTATGAATATGATATCAAAAAATGAAACAAATTTCTTGTGTTATTTACTCATAGAAAGCAGAAACTTCAACTATGTTATTGTCTTTCGAGATTTTTATCAGACCCACGTATTATTTTGTAGTTATGTGACTATGTATATTCTAATTATATGACAGAAATATAGGTGGTGCGGTAGTATAAAACAGCTTGATAACTGTAGATGAGTGTATGTATGTGAAATCTGTCATAATTATACGGACTTTTACTATAAATGTGCGCTGAATGTTTAGAAAATGAACTTTAGTTAATAATAGATCTTAAGAAAATGAAAATCAGAAAGTTTGATTTGTTAGGTATTTTAGATCCTACACTTCAAAAGGATTGATGAACACTGGTTGTATGAATAACTTTTAACGCTGAATTTGAAGTTTTTGATGCCATTGAAATTTTTTTCTGAAACAATAAAACATTTCTTTTCACTAACATACACATTTAAAGAAGTTGGAGACTTTTCGCCGAGGCTAGGTGTTTTAGATAAGTAACCTGTCTATTGTACTTCTTGTTGTCACTCCCTCTTCGTTTATTTACTCATTCACTATCAATTCAATGCCTGCTAATGATAGTGCTCTTAACAATATACGTTAATGATTCAACAAAAAATTGTTGACTAAATTGACAAATGCAGAGCTATTAGATATTATCGATGAATTTCAAACAACAATCACTAATTGTGAACAACAACTGTCATCGACACTATCGCGATTCTTCTCAAAAAGAGTAAAATATAAAATCAATGAAAATAAATCGTTTATCAATAGCACGCAGAATAAAAAAAGGAACAAAAATGACGTAATTCTTAGAAAGATTGTAGAGCATCCTGGATCAGGGGTGAGAGTAAAAAAATCGAAATACCTGCCAGGTTTTTCAGGTGAGCGCCTAAAATTTTTTAGGTTTTTTCAAAAAAATTCAAGAGGTCAGAAAACAATTTCATTCGATACATTGAGCAATTCTTTTGTAACAATGTTCATGATACTCTACTTTTTTATACCTTAGGGATATCTTAAGGGAGGATTCGTAAGGGATACCAAGCACCACGCAAAGTACCCGTAACATAGTCAAAAATTTAAACGATTTTTTATGGTCTCATTAGATAAAGCGTTCAAAATTACCCATAAAACCCAATTTTTTAAACCTTAGAGCCTAAAAACGAGTGAGTTACCGATTTTAAACAAAAAGTCCCGAAAAAAAAATCGACACAGTAGACTTTTATCATATTTTAATTTTTTTTCATTGAGAGTATTACAAGGAACACAAAGTATAAATTTCTCCCCATGCATACCAATTGCTATCTACTTTTTTGGGTAAATGACAGGACTTCTCCCATAAATGTTTCAATTTTGTTTGCAGCTAAATTCATTTTATTTTATTTGTAATTTATTTACAATAGATATTTCGATGCTACCGCATCATCGTCAGCAAGCAGCACTATGGACAGGCCATATATAAA